GCAATGTAGCGCTTATTATTGCCTTGGAATGGTCAGTGTGGAAATAGTTGTCTGTACAAGCAAATTTTGTGAGGGCTGTTGGCGCAGAAAAATGGTTCAGCACTTTCTCGTGCAACTTAGTGATTAAGTCTCTTCGGTATCTGATGTCCTCGGTAGGGTGTGCGATCTGTAAGATAGCAAACACACGGTAAGTCCTAGGGCACCGGTGTGGTACCGGCCGAAGGCTCTCCGATGCTTAAGTAAGTACGGATTTAGTAAGGTTGAACTGCAGATCAATAGGCAGTATGCCGTAAGTTCTGATTGATTACCTCCAAGCTGGGATGGTTGTCCTCTTTTATAGGCCTTGGGAGGTGTGCAATTTGTTTAGAGTTTCGATGTGGGACTCTGGGCGTCAGTTGTGAGACTGCCATGCGTCAAAAGGGGCGAGGTTGCCCTAATATTGCGATCGGTGGGTTTGGTACCGAAGGTGGGTGCCGAAGGCACACATGGCCCTGGTTTAGCCCACGTGTTTGATATTCATTAGCTGTTCATTTTGGTATAAACAAAACCGATTTTTCATATTTTGACTTGGTGAGAATTTGATTTTCTAGTATTTTTATTTGAATTCAAATAGGGGGTACTTCCTTATTTACATTGTAAACTTAAGTAAATGGAGTAATATAAAAATAAATTAAAGTCAAATAACAAAGACATTTACTTAAATGTTGAAAATGGAAATAAGGTAATCTGTATACCTGAAGTGCATCACCACTAGCTAAGCAAGGGCACAATTTAAATTACCTCCTTGTGCCTTAATAAGTCCTTCACAATACATGTGGGTACATATCAAAACATAAAGTATTTGAAATAATATACATATACAAATTTATAACAGTATATTGTTTTTAAACAAGAATATAAGCCACATGTGTATCAGTAGCCTATAATGAGGTTTTCTAGTAGTGCTCTACAATTAGATTTTTTTGTTGTTGAGAAATTCTAGGATTGCATTCATAATTCAGCCAAAAAAAGCCACTAGCCACAAATGACCATTACAATATCGTAGCGGTCTAACATCAAAATTAAGACAATCCGGTGCGCCTCTACTAACGATCACACATGATCGAAGAACTGGCATGCATTCCAACTAAGATTGCAAACTCATAATAATAATTAAAAAAAAAATTAAGCTTGAAAAAACCAAGCCATAACTATACCAATAAAACTCTCACAAAGGACATATGAAAAGCTCTCATAAAGGAGAAATGAAAAGCTCTCATAAAGGAAATGTGAAAAGCTCTCACAAAAGAAGAGGTCAAAACTACACAGAGAACCTAAGGAGTCTTTGTGACTTATTTCGAACATAAAGAAACCGCTAAAAGGATGGCGGTGGGGTCCGACGCCAAAACACAGGTAGAGATCCGATGCCAAGACATAGTCGCCTGTGATGGTTTGAGGAAAATCATAACAAAACAAAGACAAATAGGGAAAACCTTTTGTCTCTGAAAATGAGAGGAGAAGTGAGGGAGGAAGAGAAGAGGGAAGAGGGAAGAGGGGAGGAAGGACAATGGCTTCCTTCCCCCTCAAAATGAAAACGGCTCTAAGAGGGTTGTTTGGGAGAGGGGGCTAGGTTTAGAAGCCATATATTGCAATACTTAAAGATCATATGTGCTTGTTTATTAGTATTTTGATTGACCTTTATTTAAGGTCAGTAGCAAAGAGTAGTTACCCTTATACTAACTGTCATATCCTCCTTTTGTTTTTCTTATAAATTTTTTTTTTAAAAAAAAAATCTTAGATAAGACTTACAAACATGAAGGTTTGCAGAATTTGCACCCAAGTTGGCCAGTTAGCGAAGACAATGAGTTAGCCCCTTGCATCTAAGCTCGAAGACCTTTTTTCATAAATTAGATTTACGTTTATATTAGAAAATAAACAAACAAACAAACATGAAGATTCAAGAATACATGCCCTGCATTTAAAATAAAAAATAAAATGTGCTTTTCTGGCTTGAGGTCCAATAATTAAGATCATTCATGTTTTCAGACTTCTTTCAAGAATTGTTCTCATAAAAAGTAGATCAGTCAAAAATAAAAAATGGTTTAATAATTTAATTACCATCGTTATTGGACGAATTGTGTTTTATTTTTTCACCATTGCAATTTACGATGAAAAAGAGCACCAATATCTTATGCATAAAATAAATTGCAATGAAAAGGAGTACCAATATCTTATGCCATAAATTGTATTTTACGAGATTTTAGTAATTACGTATACATTGACTTATTGAGGTATCAATATTGGTATAAACTTTATCTTATATTAAAACTGAATTTTTCATATTTTGATTTGTTGGGAATTTGATTTTCTAGTGTTTTTAATTGAATCCAAATAGAGGTATTTCCTTACTTACATTGTAAATATAAATAAATGGAGTAATATAAAAATAAATTAAAGTAAAAAGACAAGACATTTACTTAATTTTTTGGGATGGAAATAAGGCAAGATAAGACAATGGGCGGGCCTAGTCGGGCTGGACCGGGGCTTTCAAATTCTAAATCCAAGTCCTATCCAACCTTAGAAAGGGCCAGATTGAGCGGGCCTAATCATCTTGCCAAGCCAGACTTTATGCTATTGGGCCTCCTGCTACAACTTTGGCCCATGGGTACAAGCCCACTTATATCACAATTAGGCCTGGGCTTCCAACCTATAACCCGCCCAAAGCATTTTATTTTTGTCAAATAAAAAGAAAATAAAAAATATTTTGGATAATTCTACAGGCACAGAGTGAGCAAAACAAGGCCTTCTTCTAAACACGGAGGGAGAAAGAGAGAGAGCTGAGCTTCAATGGCAGTTTCTTCAATGTCTGCAATCCTAATCCCTTCGCTTCCACTCACCAATTCTTCTCCATTTCCTTCCTCTAAACTCAATGTCTCTTCCTTCGCTCTTCCCTCTGCTAACAATGCCTTAAAGCTTAGAGCTTTAAGACCCTCACAGTCATCAACTAGGGTTTATGCTGCTCCTGAAGTCTTAGAGTCCCAAGAGACCCTAGTCCCACCTCCAGAAACCCTTGAGGTTTATTTTCCTTTCCCTTTTTTATTTTTATTTTTAATTTTTAAAATTTTCCTTTTCTTTAATTCTGCAATTTGGTAATGCTATGTTTGTCTGCTGAGAAAATGTGGGAAGAGAAGAATTATTTTCAATTTTTTTTCTTTCTCATGTTAGGATGTAAAACCAGTTGGAGTAGTGGGTTTTGATTATCATACTCTTCTTTATATTGTATGGCGCATCTTCTAAGCTATCAAATGAAGCTCAAGTACCAGACCATTATATTTATGCGCATTTCTTTACCTTTCTTAAGTGTTTATTATCTATGTTTTAGGTTGGAAGTTCGGAGACTCCTAGTACTTCATCACTCAATGTTGGTGGAGATGCAGATAAGGTAACATATTACTCGTGAGTATTTGATAAAAGGGAAAAGGAAAATCTAAATTGTGAAGTTTTTATATATTTATAATTTTAGCTGTTGTATTTTCTTCCTTAGTCCACATTCTAAATTTATCTGTAGATTAATTTTGGAAATGTAATTGAAGTACCATCTGTTAAGGATTTGTATAGAGTGGGAATATGTTTCTTTCCGTCATGGAGTTTTGGTGTAATATATGAAACCATGTTCAAATCTGCTCCTATTGGATATGTGATGCAGAATGGAGATATGTCAGTAGTCTTTCCGAATTTGTATATTGTTGTCAAGTAAGAAGCTTAGTGTTTAATCTTTTAGTAAGTAATTTGGGGGATATTGACCCAAGTGTGCTTCCATAATAGAATGATGGAGAGCTAATGTTCCAAGTAAATAGAGTTCTTACTGCTGAGAACACGTTGAGGAGGTAAAAATTTATTGTTAGCTGGTAATATATGTCTAACATGGATGGGAAACACCCAATCGTTTGCTTTTACGTTGATCTTTTGTTCGAGTCATCTATGGCTTTCTTGCTGTTTGGTATGACTTAAGTTGTGCCTTAGTCCCGGATTGAAGTTTTGAGTAATTGGTGCTTTGATCTTCTCCGAAGTTCTTTGTCAACTTTGCCATTACATAGAGTAGAGTGTCCAATTTCTTATAACTTTTTGTCATACTCCTGACCTGGGAATGGACCTCTGTAAGTAATTAGTACTTGGGTAGTGTATTGGGTATGTAGGTTCTGCTGTTCAATCTTACTAAAATACAGAAAGATTGTTGAGGGACATTTTCATCCAGCATGGTAAGTGTTTTGGCTTGTGGCAAGCAGATCTTCATAGTCGATTCCTTACAGATTTTATGAACATGGATTCCATGTAGGCGTGGGGCTATTTGGCTATAGTGATTTATGTATCTGGGACAGTTTGGAATGGCAGAAAGTAACTAAGTGGTTGAGGACCAGCTAGATGACTGTTGAGAGTGTAATTCTTGATTTGTCTAATCGTACTGTAGATTGTCAAAATTAAAGAAGAAAGGTCTTATTTGAGCATGCTTTTTATAAAGTAATTGTTCCCCCTATTTTTCTAACAGCGTCACATGTATTCTGATTATCTAAAGGTGTTTCTGTTTTCAGGCCTCACCCAAACAGAAAATCAGGATTAAGCTTAGGTCTTACTTTGTGCCTCTGATAGAGGATTCTTGCAAGCAGATAATGGATGCTGCACGGAACACTAACGCAAAAACAATGGGCCCTGTACCCTTACCAACCAAGAAGCGAATCTACTGTGTTCTAAAATCACCCCATGTCCACAAAGATGCGAGGTTCCATTTTGAGATTCGTACCCACCAGCGCCTCATTGATATTCTATACCCAACTGCACAAACAATAGATTCCTTGATGCAACTGGACCTTCCTGCTGGAGTTGATGTGGAGGTCAAGCTGTGAAAAAATGGGGCAGCAAGTTAGGTAAATTTTACTCAGCTTCTGAAGTTTTGCTTCCTTTTATTACTATTATCATTTCATGTTTGAATAAACAATTTTCACAGAAATGAAGTGCTTGATTTTGGAATGTAGGTTCATATAAGAAAATTAAATTGATGTCCATCCCAAAAGAATCTGCACCTTTATCAATTCTGTATTGTTTTCTGCTCATGCATTATACTGGAATTGGTCTACTCAATACTCATTGACTTTTTTCAACCATTGGTAGAGGGTTTTAATTGTTTTCGCATAACCTGTTTTAAGTCAAGCTTGAACAAGTATCTTTAATGCTGTAGCTCTGTTTTACATGCCATTCTGTCAGAATCACTCTTCATGGTGTTGCTCCATTAATTCACTACGGTCCAAGCTTAATGATCCATTAAAAGTAATTCTTGCGTTGCTACAATTAATAGTTCCTGCTTCATTTACTATTCATTTCTGCATCAATTATCCTTGTTGACTATTTCCATTTCAAGTTTGTTGTTTTTACAATCTTCAAGACAACATTCATTGTGATTCGTATCCTTAATGCTTCTCATCCTGCTATCCTTGTGGCTAACTTAACCAATTGTTTGTTTATATCATATGGGGGTCAAACATGTGCCATTCTTATCTTCATTCGGTTTATTGTTTTTTTTTTTTTTGGCTGCTAATTGTACTTTGCCATGTTAGGTGCTGGATTTCTTCGAAGAACAAATATGTGAAAGAGAATACAGTGGTTCACGTTCATTTTGTGGTTAATCACAGTAAGATTAAGTTCCGTTAATACATTTGACCCATTCCTGTTTTGCGTATGCTGTAAGTTTTGAGCCCACCTTGGATTGGAGTTGAAGAATAGAGATATGGTGTTCCTCCAGTGGCAGCTTGTTATATGCTTGTAGTTTCTTTACTTTTCTCTTTGATGTAATCATGCTAGAACTTTATAAACTTCTTAAACATGAAATGTCATTACCAGATTGATTCAGTCATTTTTGTCGTATTGTATATTTGCTTAGGTCCGTTGAGAAATTCTGTTGGTAATGTGTCAATTGGAGAAGAAAACTATAAGGAAAAGAGCAAAAGTAAAAGTTTTTGGGTTTGTGGATAATAAAGCTTTTTAATTCGAGAATCTCAACCCTCCGAAAGCATATGAAAGGAGAACAAAGTTTGGTACCCATTCCAATAAAATTGTGCCGTTGATTATGGCAATTTTTTTTACAAGTTTTATCCTCCTAATGCGATCTTATCTGCCAAATTCGTATCCTACTTTTCTTAATGTGACTGGAACCCTGCTCCCTCTTGTTCGTCATTAGTGAGAGGTAATATACTAATATGCCATTTGGAGTGAAGAAGACTCATGGCATTTTCACAACTTGAGATATGAGATTCATTTGTATTTGGACTCTCATACAGAGTGCATTTCACAGCCAATTCCAAGGAAACCATTTCCCTGTCAAATATTTTCAATTCCCACTTCCACTCCTTATATATTTTCACTGGACATCTCATTTTACACAACATACCCCAACCAATGTCTACTTTGGTTGGATCATCTTTATTTGCAACTGTCAACACAGAGTATCCCAACAAAACATACAAAACATACAAAACAATGGCCACCTGTGTGGACAACTCAAGAACGTCCCAACCCACTCCAAGCCATCATCTCCCAGTCTCAGATCAACCCCGATTTGACAATCCCGTTTCCAAGTTATTGAAGTTTTACAGACCACGTTTGACAGATTTTGTTTCACAAACAGCTACTAACCCGAATCCCGAACAACTCCCTCAGCCTCGGAGAACTTTCATTGAAGATACCAAAGGAGAAGAAGCGAAGGAAGATTACATATGGATGAAAATGAGAGAGGAGTCTTATATGGATGTTGAACGGGAGCCCATCTTGTCTAGCTATTATTTTGCTTCAATTTTGGCTCATAATTCTTTAGAAAGCGCGCTGGCGAATCATCTTGCAAATAAACTGAGCAACTCTACCCTGCTTGTGCATACCCTTTACGATATATTTTCTGGTGTTCTTTGTGAAGATCAGGAAATTTTGGAAGCCATAAAAGAAGATTTGAAGGGAGTGAAAGAGAGAGACCCAGCATGCACAAGTTATGTGCACTGTTTCTTGAACTACAAAGGCTTCCTTGCATGTGAAGCTCATAGGGTGGCACATAATCTATGGTTGCGAGGCAGAGAGGCCTTGGCACTATTGATTCAGAATAGGGTGTCTGAGGTGCTTGCAGTGGATATCCATCCCGGGGCCAAGATCGGATATGGCATGTTGCTCGATCATGGCACCGGGGTAGTGATAGGAGAGACGGTGGTGATAGGAAACAATGTGTCAATTCTGCATAATGTGACTTTGGGAGGAACAAGCAAGGAGTGTGGGGATAGGCACCCAAAGATTGGAGATGGGGTACTAATAGGGGCAGGGACCAATGTGTTAGGGAATGTAAGGATTGGTGAAGGTGCTAAGATTGGGGCTGGTGCTGTTGTGTTAAAAGATGTACTTCCAAGAACTACTGCAGTTGGGAACCCAGCAAGATTGGTTGGGAGGAATGACCTGTTTAGGCTTGACACGGTCCAAGTTTAACCATGTTATCTAGCACTTAAACACTTTACCATTTACCATCTGTATTCACCTTACAGTGTTTTATGTTACCAAGCAATTATTATGGCAAACGATCTGACAAGAGAACAATAAGATAGAGTAAGGGGAGGATCTAGGCCTTTTTGGCTAGGTGGACGCCAGACCAAGAATTTTTAGTGAAAAAAAGGTACATATGTTAGCCCCCAAAAAAAAAAAGTGTTCCTATCTTTAGCTGCCAGCTAGTCGGCAATATATTCTCTTCTCCTTGTTACTCTTTTGTCTCTGTCATTAAGTCTGATGCCTATTAATGGGTCGGGTTATGAGTTTGTTGTGTTAATGGGTTGGATTGTCATTAATTTTATTTATCAAGTCGTTAATAGGCTTTTTAATGTGTTTTGCCCAACCGAGTTTCAAATCCTCAAGCCACCATTAGTTGAAAGTTATTCTATCTCCGATTGCACAATTATAGATTTCACTTTAATCAACAAAGTTTTTTGGGCACGTTTAAGCCCTTGCTCTTTTTCAAAATTTATATTGTTATTATTATTTTTTTAATATTTTTCCTTTTTATTATTTCTCAGTTCCTCTCATCCCTCCTCCCATATTCTAACCTTAAAGAATTAATTCCAATTACACGAACCCACTTCTCTTTGTTCCTCGACCTCTCACTCAAAAACTCACACATTGTTTTCTTTTTTATTTCTGAATTTTATCTCTGTAAACTCTGAAAATCCAAACTGTCAAGTCTGTTTATTTATATTTCCTTTTTTTTTTTTTTTTATATGGGTACTGATTGTTTTATATCATTTTTAATTGTGATGAAGGGATTAGAGGTCTCCGTTCCTTTTCAAAATCTGTCAATATTCATTAGAAGTTTATTTTTTTGTGATAGTATCCCCGTTACATGTAACGAGGATAGGTAGCAAAATAGTATCATCCCTGCTCTCGTATGGAGTCACCACTTTGGCCAGCACTTTACCCCTTACGGGCCGACCCGGTGTGAGCGGGGATTAGTCTGGGTTGTGGTTAAGGCTTAAAGGTGCCACCCATAGTTGGGGCCCATCCAGGACCACCTCGTGGTTCAAACCAAAAAAAAAAAAAAAAAAAAAAAGTATCATCCCCGTTACATAAGAATTTCTCTCCCCCTCTGAGCCTCTGCATATTGATAACTTAGGGCCGGCCCTGCACATAAACATTTTCCTCCAATAAAGCAATATTGGGTCTCACCTACGTTTTGTAATAACATATCATCTCATCTCTTCCACATACCTTTTATAATAAAAGTAAATATAAAAGATAAAAGTAAAGGTAAAATATAAAAGTAAATAATATAATAATTATTGATACAATTGTGTTGCTAGTAAACACTCAAGTTTTTGAATTATTGTGGTAGGCCTAAAACTCTTGATGGGTTGAGGCAAATTGAAAAACGGTTTGGTATGAAAGGCTTGAAGTGTGAGAGCTAGGCCTGCGTTGAGGGACTATTGCTGCCAGGCCCATAAAAAAATCTCCAAGAATTGTTGTCATCCTCATCCTACTCGTGGTTTTCATACTGCTAAGCATGTGGACATGAGTTTTTACAGAGCTAATGTCAAGGGCATGGGTCAGACAAAGGGGGGGCTTGCTACAAACTTAACTTTGATGGTTTTGTGATTGGGATCTCATCAAAACATTGTTGGATGGACTAAAGTTTGCTGCTAAGAGGAAGAGTTAGGAGGATCAAAATACTGGGGACACTGATATGAACAAGAGGAGGGAATGGCACTTTGAAAACTAGTATTTTTGGATTCATTTGGCAACTAGAGAGACAAGTGCATATCTCACAGAATATGCCGCTTGAAACAAAAGCATGGCAGACGATATGATATGGTAATCAGGTTCATCCAAAAGAATAGATATGGTATGTTGGGCCACCCTCTTTGCGAGAGGGTTCTTTCTCTTTTTTTTTTTCTTTTTTTTTTTTTTTTTTTTTTTTTTTTTTTTGAGTCTTATCATTGAATTAGAAAATGTGTTTCACAATTATCATCATAACGCTATTTTTTTTTTTTTTGGGGTAACATAAAGTAGAAATTGAACCATTAGGGGAGGTTGTTAACTTTTTTTTGCATGTTGATAACGTTTCCCAATATATAAACACACTCGACACAAAATTAACATGTTTGAGTTGATCATTACTTGCACGAATAATACGACATGACTTACTTACACATGGTAAACATGTCGAACTAGTGTCAAGTGTTAACCTAGATTTTGATACGTTAAACTCATTTAATTAGTATTATATATGTAAAATGACTAGGTTTCTTTGTTGTTAATATGTCTTTTATGAATCATTATCCAATTATAAAATTATTTATAGTTCTATTAGTATCTTCGTCAAGTACATTTTTCCTTTGTAATGCATAGACGATGAGTTTGGCTAAGCAAAGAAAAAGAAAAGGTAAAACTATTGACTCTCGTGAATGGCCAGTCTGCAGGCTTTACTGGTGCTTTTTCTGAGCAGAAACTTAACTGAGGAGAAAATTTTAGTTATAATAGGAATAACACTAGTCTGTTATTTTCGACTAATAATATTATATCACGTATATCATAAGATTGATCGAATATTTTCGACTAATAATGTTATATCACGTATATCATAAGATTGATTGAAAATCAAAATAATGTTATTTCTATTGAATAGAAGTCTTTCTCCTGATTGAGACGTCGTACTGTTTTATCCTCTTTTTTCAAAAAAGACGTCGATTGTTGGGTCCCACCGTTTTGATGAAATAGTTTGACGTCTTGAGTGGTTCAACATCAGCTAAGTGCTGACCCACATTTCCCAAGGACCAAGTGTGGCTCACGAGTCGTGCCTCTATTTATCCCTAATCTCTATCCACTCAATATTACAGGTGTGGCTCAAAAGGCTAAATTATATTTTTGGTTTTTGTAGATAATACCAATTTATGAGACGTTTAGGCGTTCCTTCTATTTTGCATATGCTTGAAGGGAAATGTAATATAGTTGCTTATGTATTGGCTCTTTTTGTTTTGAGAGAAAGGAAAATATAAAATAAAAGAAAAAAGAGAAAAGAACCTGGCATAAGAAAATAACATGATCAACAACTCATTATGCTAAAAAAAATATTTCTATGTATAGATTTAATCATAATTTGCTATTGATCCAAAACTTCTAGTCGATAGAACTATGAACTTCTAATTTATAAGAATAAGAGAATGAGAGAAATTTTAAGACAATTAGAGAAACAAAAGGAAGAAGCTTAGGAACTGCTTTGAGTTATACTTTCAGAATTGCTTGATTCATTTCAATGAATAACATTACGTATTTATACAAGGTTTGGTTGCTAAAATTAATTAAACTAAAATAGTAAATTATTTTAAGCCATAAATAATGAATGACCTAAAATCTC